CTAATAATAATAAATATAAGATATAAAATACAATAAAGAATATATATAACTACTAATGCTATTTATAATATACTATATTAAAATCTACTTTGTAATAGCACAAATTATAGTTTTTTAATATTATTAATTAATTTGCATATTTTATTAAAATAATAGTTTTTTATTTATGCTTTACTAAATAAATTAAAATTATAATTAGCTTAAATATTAATTAGAAATAAATATAAATTACTAATCTTATTAATTGATTAATATTTGCAATATATATATAAAGTTAAACTTGTAATATTACAGGCTGTAAAGCTTCTTTAACAAACTTTTTTAGATAAAAGACTGAATCTGATACAATAAGATATAGACAATTAAAAAGTATCTTTCACTTAGTTAAAGTTTAAAAGACCAATTAGTTTACTATAATATTATTTACTTATGACATAAAATTAACTAAAATTAACTTTGTTTTGTTTTAGTAACTATAAAGAATATTCATTATACTATAAGTTCTCTTGTCTGTAATCTTATTAATTATAATAAAAACAAATTTTTTACAAAATATTTTCTGAAGTTGTTTATAATATTGCTCAAAAATGCTATTTAAATAATATTTCTAAATACTATCAAGCATAAAAATAAAGCTTTTTTCTTTATAGTACTTTTTAAAAAAATCTTAGAGCTTGTTTATTTTTTTAATAAGAATGTTTGTTTCTATTTAGACTTTTACTAAATTATTAATTACTATTATTTTTTATTAGCAATCTTCAATGTTGTAGAAAGAAATTGTTAGTAATCTTTATAATTAGTAATAATATATATTTTTTTTTTGGTGTTAAGATGAGGTTAGTAATAATATATAAGTGATAAGCATTTTTATAAGCTTTTGAGTTTGTGTATAATAACTATAATTTTATTTTTTTATCTAATACTTATATTACAAAACTGACAAAAAAGTTTATTATCTACAAAAAGATCTTTAAAAAATTCTTGTAATTATAAATAAGATGTAATATATTTTGATTTTTTTATTTTTGTTTAATATATATTATTCCTTAGACTGACTTTAATGTTTTTATAAAAAATTGTTTTTAGATTTTTTTTTCAAAATAAATTACTAACATAATTCTTTCTTCAAAATTAACTTAATTTTTTATTTTCAAAACTAATCTAATTTTTTTAAACTTTTTTTCTTTAAAACTGATTCAATATTTTTTTTTAAAAAAAAACCAGTCTAATAATTTTTTCTTTAAAACAATTTGAACTTTTTTATTTTTTTTTAATTTTTTTTTTGTTTTTTTATATTTTATATTTTTATTTTTATTTTTTTATATTTATTTATTTATTTTTAGTTGTTTTTTTTATTTTTTTTTTCTAAATAAATGTTATTTTTTTTCAAAATTAAATACAACAATTTAAAGCTTTGCTAATAATTTTTTTTTTTAGAACCAAATTAATCTAAAACTAGTGCTTTTTTAGAAAGTGCAACTAATGTTTTTTTCTTCTTTAAACTAAACTACCAGTCTCAAAGCCACTTCAGTTTCTTGCAAAAAGCCTTTTAAATTTTTTTTTACTAATTTTTTTAATTTAGACTAAATTCTATGCCAATATGATTGGCTTAAAAACATGTGATTATGCCAAATTTCTGAAACATTTAAATTTACATCAAATATGTTTAAATATTTGGATTTAAATGAAAAATGCTCAAATATTTGGATTTACATGGGTAAATTTGAATCCAAATTTTTCTGTATCTCACGGCTATGTCGATCATATACCTAAAATGGGGTCGTTTAAAGCCTGGAACCTTACGAAATTTCCCGATACATGTCCCGCATTATTCCGAACAACCCGACAAAGAAAAAAACATGAAAATATAAAAAATGGCTATCTAAACTGGTCTTGATGCACTAAGTAAAAGTGTCGGAAATCCGATTTTACTATATATATATTAACCTTCTAGCCTATGTATAACCCTAACCCTTAATATTAATTAAAAATTGGAAAACCGGAAGGTGCCAGGCTTTAAACGTCCCTCTAAAATGGGTTTCCCGGCAGTATATGCAGTATTTGCTGTATACTATGTATCCCATGCATCGGGTTAATAATGGATATCAGTGTACGTACAATTATAATAATTAGTATAAACAATATAATCAGTAACATTGATATAACGATAAGCATTATAATTAGTATATGTGAGATAAAGGATATAAATGCGATATCACGAATAGAATGTATAGCATGCCTTATGTAAACGAAAGTATATAATAAAGGCTTCGAGCCCTACACGAACAGTAGTTCGCGCTTGTAATAAAGTTGGACCCTAGTAACTCCCTGCCTTCGCTACATTGTAAAACCTACGATCATAAACACACCACTCGCCAAATCTAACCGCCTCTTATCGACTAAGCCGATTCGTAGGTTACACGACGCATCCCGATGTTATGATTATAATCCAACACCATTTTTATTATAATAAAAATGGTGTTGCATAACATCAACTAGCGGACTGTTCAAGTATTGTAAAATAACTTTTTTATGTGTTTCACACCGTGTGTAAAATCAATCGTGTAACATCAACGTTTCCTCCCGTTCCTAGCTACGGGTTTATTCAATTACCGACGTCATATAATTTGATTTTCTCCACTAGCGCAAGTAAATAAGATGTTTGGAGGTTTAAATAATTAAGGACCGGACTGGACCGGACTTGTTCATTTTTAAACAAGTGCGAAAAAATAGTGTAAGGTATTAAACAAGGCCAGAAAACAAATATATATTACAGATTTGTCTTGTAAAATAACATTTTCCAGAATTCCTGTCATAACGAACATCTATTCGTGAGATCAAATTCGGATATAGGAAAGAATTGAATTTATTCGTAGTAGAGTTTTTTTCTATCTAGTTCACTGTCATAGTTTTTACATGGATTATTTCAATTAAGATTTGGTAATGTAAATGATATTCATATTGAATATTATCATGGTTTTATTAAAGATCTCATATCTTGATATACATCAATTATTTTGGTTTGATTTTCTATTAATTGACCTTGTAAATCTATTGTATTTTCTAAAGAAGTAATATAAGTTTCTAATTTATTAATAAATGAACAATTGTTTAAACGGTTTTCCATATTTTTGATCAATTCAATGATATCATTTTCATGAGATAACCAAACTTTAGGATATTTTTTTGATTTTTCGATACATTCCTTAGAAATCAAGTTGCTTGACACCAAATATCCGGTTAACCCTTTGGGTGCTTCGTTCATTTCTTTCATAAATTCCTTTACGTCTTTCGGATAAAGGAAAACCCATGGCTCATTATATAGGGTTTTAAGAAAAAAGGTAAGTGATCTATATTTTCCGATTAGTCGGTTTTTCTTGATTTCTATGATATCGATATCGGAACTTTCTAATAATTTTTTCATGGTTAAGAGATAAACATGATTTTTGTCTTCTAGAGACAGCTATAAAATAACAAAAGGAAAAAAAAAAGTAAGTATAAAAAGTATCATCATTACAACATCTAACCTTACATTTGGTCGTCCCCGACACCATCACACAGTCTGCCGGATCATCCTCGCAAACAGCGTAACTTATGATTAGACGTACGCTAGATAAATTTATACTTAGTGAATTACTCACCGATTCAAATTGTTCGGTAAAATTGAATATAGAACTTCTTTTATTAAGAATGAACGGTAATTGTTTTTTATATTTAGGCCGTTTACTTATTTCTATAAAAAAAAAAGAAAAAAAAAAGTAATGTTAACTATTAATTTATCAAAATTTGTATACAGTCTGATCTCGTTATAGCATAGTAATCAAGAAAACTAACCAGGTATTTCACTATGTTTTCTTTTTCGACCCATTAGTTTTAAACCGCAACTTAGTCTCTCCTTAGTATCACAAGTTAATTGGAACTAAAAGTTCAATCTTACAGATCAAACCTTCTATTTATTTACTCTCTTAGATGCATGATTATATCATTTACCCGTCAGAAGACGCTTATCATTGAAATCATTTGTTTATATCGTGAGTTTATAATTTTCTTGTTTCTTTATTATCAAAATGATGTAACTTTTATCAAATTTTGCAGATTGCAATTCAAATATACAATCATTCGATTGTGCAATTGTAAAATTCAATAAAAATAAAAATATTTTAATAATCTATGATTTTTTTTACGTATCTATATGTTTAAAATAAGACACATGTTTGAGAACCGAATTAATTAAGGACCGAGTCTAGGACTGTTCTTTTAGATCCTAGGATCGGACCATCTTCTAAAAAACAACCTTGCAATCAGGTTACAATCAAGTGATTGTACAAATAAATTTTATATTTGATGATCAAGAATTTCAAGAATGATTTATTAATTAGATTATTGATCTATATAATACTAAATACAAATTTGAAATTTTTTTTTTTTTTTTTTAAGCAGAAGTTTAAACTAACTCATGCAGAAGAGTCACCAAATTTGAGTACATCGGAATCCTGGTCGACTGGATAGAAATTGATCAAATTTTCCCAAGATACTAAAGATTTTACTAATAAAACCGTAGTTATTTAATTAAGCAAACAAATGTCCAGCTGATAATTTTGCCATAGACTCTGCTAACTGTTATTGCTAAATGTTCCTTGTAACAAATGTTCAAACTATGTATAAAATTTAGTCAATAATCTTTTTTCTTAAAATTTTATACTTAAAATAGTTGGTCTGTAATATAAAAATTCGGAATAATAGATATTTGCAAAGATTATTTCTGTATTTAGTTATAGTAACATGGTTTGAATACATTTTAGGCTCCAAAAGTTTATCACGGCTACACAAAAATGTATATACATATAACTCGATTTAGGAAACCTTCGATATAAGAAGCTGACTGTACTTTTTTTTTTGTGTTTAAAAAAAAAAACGGTAATGGCGTCGAATTAACATCCAGCATCATAACCATAAATAGGATAGTATAGCAGATCTTATGATTAATCTGGGTTCTTTTTTTTTTTTTACTGTCTTGTTTTTACTTGTTTCTACATCACTGCTATCTGCCATCTGTTAATTGATATTCTAATATCTGCGGCTTTATCAACTTTAAATTTTGGTAAATTGATAAGATCACTTTACATATCGATATGGTTCGTTTTAATAATAAATTTCAAGTTAGGCAGATTAAATAATAATATCAATAAATGCACATGTACAGTACCTCGCGCGAGGTAATCTTAGCATTTACTCACACACTTCATGCAAGGTTACATTGCGTGATTTTACGCGAGGTGTGTGAAATTTTATTGTTATTTAGAACGGTGATCATTAAAATTATTTCAATCAAATGATTTACCTTGCGCGAGATTGATGTCACCTTGCGCAAGGTGCGTGAAGTTGCGGGTGTGAGAATTTTGTACTTTGTGCGAGGTACATCTCTATACATTATAATATTGATAAATATGTGTTACATTTTTAATACAGTCAGACTAATATCAATGTGAATCGCGAATTTGACATACAGTATAACATAATCAATCATCTTCATGATATTAAAAATAATATAAAAAAATCAATATCCTAAAGTGATTATCGTAAAATCTGCTGTATTATGTTTCTGTATTCTATTTATAGGATATGATTAACATGTGAATAAAAATTCGACGCCTATCGCTATCAATAAACGTGTCTGTTTTTTCTTTAATAAGAATAGCCCATTACTGGGTGTTTTTTTTTTTTTGATCATATGCCTAAATAGTCTTGAAATGCCGCACTGTTCAATTTTTTTTTGTTTGTTGCTGATCAAAATTTTGCAGATCGCTTACTTGTTCGGATTGCAAAGTGATTTTCTTTCTTAATCAAAAATTCGATACAATCCTATATTCGGCTAATTTCCCACGACTTTACTGCGATCGGGCAACAATCGAATGATTGTACATGTAAGCTGCGGTTTGCATCATTTGATCAAAAAACTCTTTTTACAATATATACAATATAAAAAACATTTGATTTCATGGACATGAACGATCGATGTAATGATAAGCAACAAGATTGTGCAGTTTGAAAAATATGACAAATTAATGATATCATGCATATAAGAAAGTAAATAAATAATGGTCCAAACTTCCACTTCAATTATCTTGTGTAAAACCAAATATTATAATAATATAATCTCGTAGAAGCGTGGAGAAGGTTAACACGAAGTTAAGTGAGAATACGTTGTGAAAAGATATAGATGCACGCAACCTAACTGACCGTGCAAGCTTCAAGAAGGTATTAAGTGCATGACGTATTTTTTCGAAAAAAAAGGGCTACCGATTAGTTTTATGATAATTCTGAAATCAAATCAATAATGTTACTCTTTTTTTCATAAAAATCAGCAGAAGGACCAAATACAAGAAAAAATTACCATTCATTCTTCATAAATAAATTTTATACTTTTATCCAACAATTAAATTCATTGTTTATCTAGCGTACGTCTGATCATAAGTTACATTTGGTCGTCCCCGACATCATCACACAGTCTTCCGGACATCCTCGCAAACAGCGTAAGGTTAGATGCTTACTCGTTTTTTTTTTTATAGCTGTCTCTTGAAGACAAAATCAAGTTTATCTCTTATTGATGAAAAAATTGTTAGAAAGTTCCAATATCAATATCATAGAAATCAAGAAAAACTGAATAATCGGAAATATGAATCGCTTACGTAAAGAAATTTAAAAAGAAATGAACGAAGCACCTAAAGAGTTAACCGGATATTTGGTGTCAAGCAACATTGTTTCGCATATAAATAAGGCCGCATAAACTTGATTTTTCGTTTTGCATTACCTGCCACCCCGTTTTTTTCAATTTTTCAAAAAATTTTCGAGTTCAATTATGCCAATTATTCTATTTTTTTGCCGTTTATTTATTTTCGATCATTTTATCCAGCGCCACCCGATAGAGACCTTACTTTCTCGTAATTATTCGATAAGAAAAAAAAACCGACCAACCAAATTTTTGGATTCCATGTAATGCAAAACGAAAAATTAACTTTGCATGGCCTAATCACCATTCATTTTTTATTATTAAATAAAAAAATTTTTACCGAACAACTTTGAATTGGTGAGTAATTCACTAAGTATAAATTTATCCGGCATACTTCTAATCATAAGTTACGCTGTTTGCGAGGATGATCCGGCAGACTGTGTGATGGTGTCGGGGACGACCAAATGTAAGG